TGTGAGTTAGTTTGTTACTTCATAACACCTTAATGGCTTAACTAATTGTCACGAAATTTTATATACACTTGTTTGGGAAATATGAAGAAGGACAAAGACTACTAATAATCCCGATTAATCAATATATCTCGTTCACACGAACGAAGTCACAGGTAAAAACTAGTAAATACATATTTCATACTCATATACATAATCATATTAACATAAAACGTATTTATATTCATTATTTTTACACATTACACTCAAAAAATAAAACACCTATTTTAATAATGACGATTCAAACCTTTATTTTAAGACTGGCAGATCTATAAAAAAATAAAGTGCCTACTTAATAATACAATATCTTGCATGTGGTAGCTATTCCGTTCAGTATCTACACCAATGTACCAGGTCACACCTGTTTATTTAAAACTTACTATTTAATGATAATATATTTTTCCCCTATGGAGTGTTGTGTGTAAATATTACAAGGTACCATGTTGATTTTTATAGATTAAAAACGATAATACACTGAGCAGTGTCAATATAAATTGCCCGCTAAGTCATGCCGCGAGTTCAATACACCCAAAATTTGTACAAATATTTGTAATTCAATTATTGGAAAGTTTTCTGCCTTGTGTTTTTTTTTTTAAACTACCTCCCGATAATATCTTATATCGCATAATCAGGAAACGAGTGTGAAATAATTGGCTTACGAAGCCTTTTCCATTTTATAGTCAGTTGTAATTCCCTATCTTACTAATGTTTCAAAGAAAGTTTATAAATATGTTTACCTAAATGTTTATTTAAGTCGATTGGTACACATGTATGACTGTGACTACTAATAAACTGTCGGTTTTTCACATATTAGGTTTGCTGGAAGAAATCTCTTTTGGAGATAAGCTCGCCTTTGTGCACTATTGTTTTTTTATATTTCAATAACCTTTTGAGTACAATAAAGAATAATAATAATAAATCTTTATTTTACTACTCACAAGAAGTAATGTACAGTGTATAACTATTTAGGTTTTAACTTAATATATTAATTCTTGCGAGAGTCTGTTTATGACATAATCTAGCTGAAACGGCTGAATGGATATTTATGAAATTTGGACACTTTAGATCTTTTCCTAAATTAACACAGAGTAGGTAGGTATTTTTATCTTAATTTGGACAATATGGTAAAATCGAGAAATAAGTAGGTAGTTAGAATTACTAAATAATATCTACAAGAAAAGTCGAGAAATACTCGTAAGTAGGTAGTTAGAATTAATAAACGATATCTACGAGACATAACACCGTAATCGAGGGATGGGCAGCAGTGACCCTCTTTAAACACTACCAAAAGCATAACTGTGGTTGCCAACCCGCCTGCCAAGCGTGGCAACTATTGGCAATCCCCCCTTAGAGGGGAGGCCTATGTTCATGATAATGACGATGATAAAATTGTAGTCCTCTGGAATGTCAATGCATGAAAGATACCTACTATGTGTATCACAGAGTATTGTTTGACGTCCAATAGTGTTTTTCATGTCTATAGGCGATGGTTAACGTGTTTCCTTAGGTTGGCAGTCAGCTTGTTTGCCATCTAATTGAAATTCTAATTGACGCGTAATACCTCTGGTATTGCAGGTGTTCATAGGCTACGGTAACCACTTAGCATCAGGTGGGCCGTATGCTTGTTTGCCACCTAAGTGGTATAAAAAAAAATTCTAATTTGCCATTCTAATTCTAGTTCTGAAAAAAAAATTTATGCTATTCATTTTTTGACCTCTAACGCAAAACGACGGGTGTCATAAGTTTTACTTATCTGTGTGTTGCTGTGTTTGTATGTCTATGTCTGTCTGTAGCATCGTAGCTCCTAAACGAATAGACCGATTATGATAAGAGTTCTTTTTTATTTGAAAGCTGCCGTGATCGGGATTTTAGATTTTTTTTTATTTTAATAAATTTATAGATACTAACATCGATACAGTTTACCTATAAATAACTTTAACCATCACCAAAATGTAATGCATCGATCTTGGAAATGTACTGAAATTGTATGGCCGATGTAAAATACGCATTTTTATGTTCTCAAACACTATGTGCCTCGATTACTTAATATCTATGAGTGTTTTCGTAAAGGTGGCGCGACTTTATACGTTTATCATTGGACATAATCTATGCTGTATTCTAACTGTACAAAAATGTATTCTACCGCGACCTCCCCTTTATTTAAGGTGTCGTCTTGTTTAGTTTTTCACACGAAAAAGTCTATCATCAGTTACGTCGCTCTTTAGGAATTTATGGCTCTCTCATAAAATAGATACGTGATAGAAAAAACAAGGACACGACCCGGGTGGGTCGCTCCTGTCCGCGTCGGCAGAGTCACCGTCACGGCGTCACCGGCCAACAAAGCACTGTGCCCACGCGCTAATGTATTCAACGCGGCGATTGATGAAGTATAAAATTTCTTAGTACCGTCTCACTCACAATGGAATTATGATAATTTATCGGTTGGCTTGTGCCGCGCGAGTGTGTGGGAACGCGCGCGGCACGGGCTTTCCCACGAGTGCGCGCTGCGTGGAATAACGTCTCGTCCGGTACTGATACAACTGTCAGTTACGTCATTATTCGATTAAGCGACTCGCCATAGTTCGTGGTATAACGTCGTAAGTGCAGTTCGAGCGGCGAAGAATGGTTCTTCCCGCGTATTCTTTAGATTAGTGTTGACACTTGAGACGTTCTGCAATGTGGTACAGTGAGACAGAATTGGAGTAAGTAGCGTCACGGCGGTTCGACCGCACAATGGGTCGGTATCGAGTCGACTAGCGGTGCTGGGAACAAACTCACACCTATGCAAGGTGATAGTCAATGTTATTGTTTTGACTGACTAATTAGGATGGATGTTTTTGTGCTCAGCGGGATTATGCGAGTCGCTAATTGTTAAGTACCCAGTTATTTGAGTTGCTTGTTTAGAGATTAGTAAAGACAGGCGTAGACATAAAATAATGTGTAGTCTGAAATGATACAATACTCAATATACCATAATGATACATATAATACTATAATGAATTTTAAAAATCAAGAGCTAGATTACAGTTAAATATTATATGTACATGTGTTATAATATATAGATTAGGTACAGTGTAAAAACATTCCTACATATATACTTATTATGTATTAGATATTACACATTTATAACACTATGGTAACTTTTAAAATACATTTAAATAAAAAAAAAAAACAAGGCGAGCAATCCTCAGGAATTATGAATTCAAATTTACCCGACATCTAAATTTTGCAACAATTTATATTTTTAAATTGTAAAGTTATTATATTTATTGAGTGTAACTAGTCTATGTTACTACACTGACGATGGTAATATCGCGACCTGACATCGTCTATTTCAATATTCTCGGCGAAATGTGGGTAAATTGTATGTTACATTCACTATAAAAATAACAGTTTCATCACGAGACCAAATACTGAAATGTGAGGGCAAACAAACAAAACAACTGGCAGCAGACTACAAAATGCCACTAACAACCTCATCTGGAATTACAGTTGTGAGCATATTTATTGTTAAAAATAACTGAGTATTTATAGCAGGTAATATTTATAACAATAACGGGTAACAGTAAAAATAATTTAAAATTTGCAACAAAGTGAACTTTTACAATTGGGGCACTTAAAATTGAAAACGTACCTAGGCAGTAAAATGTTTGTAACAGCAATGTCTTCGTCGGTTTGTCTGTCACCACGACCGACAGAGGCGATAACATGCCTCGTGTCACCGCCGACCTGCGCCCGCTCCGCCGTCGACATTGTAGGGTTGACACACACCAGTAGCGATTATCTTATTTAAAAAAAATATTAATAATCCAATGTCATAACATTATTTATTACATTTAACTATATATAATTAAATAGGTATACGATACGTTGTTTGTATAATTTTTAAAATATATTTTTTTACTTTTTAAATTGTTTAAATCAGGTGATATTTTGATATTTTTAAAGATAAAGATATATCTACTTATAAATTATTATGTATAATTAAAAAATATCTATTCATTTTCATGGATTAATGAATTGCCACGAGTCGTTGCTTGGAAATAATAGGAGATATGACATCGTTGTCTAATGCAAAGGGGAACGTCTTGTCGTGCGCCTGTGTAGGGAACGCAAGCGCAGAGGGTGCGCGTGGGAACGCGTGCTGGCCAGGTGCGAACAGTAGAGCCCCCGATTACATACACAGCTGTTTCATCTTAGCAAAATAATAAAAATATAATATTAATTCAGCAAATAGTAAAAAATATATATTATTATTAAAATATGGAAATCATATTCGAATTATTGAGCGATTGAAAAGTTTGTAAGCAAAAATTTGCTGAGTTTATCAGTAAACGTAAAAATACGCGTTATTTCTATCAAATCTATATACTATAGATATATGTGAATAAGTATTCTAGAATTATGTACCTACAAGTACCACTCATTGCGAAGCTGCGACTTCATCCACGTAAACCATTTTTAACTGACTTTTCTATACGAATTTAGAGAAGTCTCTTATTATTATTTACTTTCATAAGAAAGCGTCGACTCTGCATTAATTAAATAGACAGTTTTATATTTATTAAAGTGTTTATTAGAGAATTTATTAAAGAATAATATTAATTTCATGTCGAATAATAACTTTTAAACCGACTTTTCACGATTTGAAATTTGATAGCAGAAACCTTTCCTTGTATTTACTTTAAAATAAAATTTAATAGCACCAACTTGGCGTTTTAAATTAATTAAATTTTAATAATATTAATTACCTAATTATATAATTATTTCTATTTAACCCAAATTAATTTTATTATTTACTACATATTTTTATACCATATAAAAACACCTATATTATCATTATCGTAAGAAACAAGTTAGCGTGTGAACGGAAAATAAATAATAGCAATATCTTGAATGAGCCACCCCTAGTTTTATCACGGGCGTTTTGCCACAATCGGTGTAGGGTCCATAAAAGCGGCGCGGCGGGCGGCGCGCGCGCCATTCGCTCACAACCCGTCGCGCGCGCACCACCAATGATTTTACCCGCCCGAACTATGTCGCCGCCGCAAGGCGCTTTTCACACACCGGCGTCAACGCACACGCAGCCTGATGAAGAACCCGTCTCGAGAACATACCAATACAGAAAAGTTATGAAACCAATGCTCGAAAGGAAAAGAAGAGCACGCATCAATCGCTGCCTAGATGAGCTCAAAGATCTGATGGTAACCGCTCTCCAAGCCGAAGGGGAAAACGTTTCAAAATTGGAAAAGGCAGACATATTGGAACTGACCGTCCGACATTTACATAGCCTCAAGCGCAGGGGTCAATTAGTGTTGAAGCCTGAAATGTCATACACGGAGCGATTCCGCGCCGGCTTCACGCAGTGTGCTACGGAAGTGTCACAGTTTATCGCAAACGCTACCTTAGCTGCCAACGCGATGCAACGTCAGGGTCCAGTCGACCCTCAAGCCGGAGCGAGGTTGTTGCAACACTTGAGCAATTGCATAAGAAGGTTGGAAACCCCTCAAGTGGTTCAGCCCCAGCCGATTGCACCGAACGGCGTAGCTCGGCCGACACCGTTGCAGCCTGTTCCGTCACATCCCCCTGGCCCTCAACATATCACTCCGCTGCAGAGGACATCGTTACCAGACCGAGTTGTGAAAAGACCATTGGACGGGCCGCAGGACCCAGAAGCGACGCTAGCAAAGCGTGCGTACGCGCCGCCGTCTCCGCCCCACAGCCCCGCCTCCGAGACTGACTCCACCCAGTCGATGTGGAGGCCGTGGTGATCGCCAGACGCTGTTCCTCATGATCTCGTCCCCTGGACTGTGTGACAGCATGTGTGATAATCACAAACGTTGTTTGTTTTGTTTCTATTAACGTTCCTAGAACTAGATGTGTGTTGAAAACGTTGCATGAGTATTACTTCGCGTTGCTTGTTGAAGTTTGTTTTAATTTTTCTATTTAAATAAAATAAGCTTTTTTTGTTTTGAAGTAGTCCGTTGTTATTGATTCCTAATTACAACGTCTTCCACGACGATATAATTGCATTTAGTTTAAAATGAGAAAGATGTCGTAAGTGTAGTGTAGCACCTAAGTTGACTCTGTGATATGATAGCTGACATTAATTTTGTAGGAATTTATTATAGGATGCTAAAAAATATTAGTACACTCCGTAATAAATAAAAACTAATAAATGTTTTTACTATATTTTGACTTTTATTATTATTGCATAATTTTGTATTTAATGTATAAGAACAAATATATTTTTTATTCCAATAAACTTAATTATAAGCATTTTATACTAACGGGCTAGATTGCTTTTTTCAAAGTCGATATCACAATTATATACATATAATTTGTCACAATACAGATTAACAGAGAGGCTAAATAACATGGCTGGTTGTCTAAGAGGACAAATGAAATTTTAAACCAAAACTTCATCATTATTCTGCAATAAAACGTTGCACTGCAATAACCTTGCTAAAGGTCTCATTTCCTTACAATTGACTCCATGGGAATGGGTTTATATGTACATAGTAAACTTCAAAAACTAATTCCTAACACTATAGCATGAAAGTTCAAAATCATATGGCATTTCTACTCACCTATTCTCTATTACAATAGCGTGGTAATTAGTAGTATTTCATGAAATATTCATCAGAATTTCTTCGTGGTAAGCTTTATTATCAATTCTCACGGTGTTCGTTCATACCATGTTATTGTGCTTGCACCCGAGTAACTATAAAAATAATAACTAAGTAATACTTACTACGAATGCATTTTATCGTTATATCTATTTTAAAACATGGGTTTTAAAATATATATAACGTTATCAATAAATCAATTTTGTTCATTGATATTTTTATAAATTTCATATACGAGTATATAAAAAAAAAAACAATTTTTTGCTCTACAAGAAAAAAAAATAACACGTGGCAAAATTAGATTTTTGATTTGAAATCAAACTGTGATCGATTTTGATTAAATTTCTACCAATCTAAAACTTGAATAAAAAAAATCTAAATCTGTTTATAATGAGGTTTACAAACAAAAAAATCAAATGAATTGAGAATATTCTCCTTTTTAAAATCGTTTAAAAAGGTACAAATTATAAAAAAAAAAAAAACAACAAACTTATTTACACAAGCGAATTTATTTTTCCAATAAAGCTTCAAAACGAAAAGGGAGAAATCTGTCTAACGTATTTTGTATCTGACCATATGCGATATAAGGCTAATATTATAAATGATGATAAATAAGAATACTATAATTTTTAATTTCAGTTACAGTATAAATTTAGAGTTACCCATTAAATAGACGGTTAGTTAAAGTGGAATCATTAAATTATTATTATTTATAATATTCGGGAAAAAAAAAAAAAAAAAAAAAATATATATATATATATATATATATATATATATATATATATATATATATATATATATATATATATATATATATATATATATATATATATATATATATATAACTATTTCATTCTGTGTTATTTAAATGTATAGAAATGGAACACAACTCCACTATTAATTTTTACTAGTGAGGTAAAATAATTAGTAAAGGATGATAGATGTGAATAAAGTAGGGTCCATCGGTCCATCGTAAAGAAATAATTATAATTAAGTAGAGGTCGATCTGATAAAGTTTATTACTAGTAACGGAGCCCCTAAGTCCAACGGGACTTCGGGGCTCCTTAATTATATCCGTAAATAGTAGCATTACTAACAACTAATATTTCCTATAAAATAACAATGAACACTCGTTGATTATTCGGAAATATATTTTTTTTTAAATTTTGACGATCTCAGTACAAGGATAAGCATGTTTAGTTCTTGGTCGACCAAAGTCCATAGTCGAGAATGTTATAATAGTTTTGTATCTCTGATATGAAACTACTCGTACCTACATATATTGGCAACTTATTCATTAAATATAAAATAATTTGTCTTCACCTCTGACCACTACTACCGGTTCTAGACTTGTGTAAATGATTCTTAAATTGTGTTTTTGTTTTAATTCCAATGACACGAAAAATATTTTCTTGTTAGTAGTAATAACGAACTATGTGCCACCCCACTTTAAAATTGGGTTTATTCTAAATTAAAAAAAAAATACTCCTGATATCATATATGAAATAGGCAGTAGCTTCGGTTGTTATCAACTATGATCATTGAATCTAAATGTGACAAAATCATTGCCGTTTATTGGACTGATTGAGTTAGATATCGGTATTAATGAGTAGCAAAAGGAGAAAGAGAGTAATGTAGATCATAAGCCATTTCATCATTTAACCATCCAGTGTTAAACATAAGCACACCCATAAGAGTTTTGTTATTAGTTGCCATGTTTGGCAGGCGACTTAGCAACCATAATTAGTCTTTTGGTGATGTTTTAAGAAGGACGCTACTACTCATCCTTCGACCATTAAGTTCCCTTAGTCATCTTTCATGACATCCACGAGAAAGGAAGAGATGGCCCATTTTATGTGGGGCCACATGACACTCATTGCTAGCAATATATACTGTTAGGTCAACCTTCTCCTTGTCCACTTTGAAAACAATCGTAATTAATTCCTGGTAAATTAATTACGATAGGATGACCCGTTTTAATCATTATTTATCATCTCTCACAATCCAGTCAGCATAAACACTTAACATACTCTATTTTTATTCATTAAAAAACTATCAGCTTGCGTTTTTATGGTTGAAAATGGAATAGTAGCCCCATCCGCACCATTGATATATGCTGGCGGGATACCAGTTAATGATAACAGATGAGTATGAAATCAGCTCCCTTAGCCTATCGTAACCATTATGGTTTCCATTATGGGGGCCACGTAAACGTTGACGTAATAAGGTATATTCTTAATTAATGGTCCCTTTAGTCCTCATTACAGGGGGGAAAGGGATTGTTAGCAATGGAGTTTGACAGCCCCGTTGCTAGCAATATGCCTTATTAGGTCGACCTCCACGTGGTTCCTCCTGGAAACCATCGTGAACAATTCTTGTTGAATTCGTCACAATGGGCTAACCGACCTACTTCATCCTCACCTATCATCCTTCACTGGTGCCCCGCCGGTGTATACCGATAGCGCGGGTGGAGTCACCATTCCATTATCATCCATTAAAAAAAAGACCTCATTATAACAGTAATCCCTTCCTCTCTACAGTGGATTTGTTAGAGATTGAACTTGAAAAGTACAGTGTTGATATCGGCCAAATTCGAACAATAAACCAAAAGATCAGTTGAGCTCAATCAAGATAGCTTGATCTCTAGACCGTAAAGGTATTTACTAATATAATTTGAAATTGGAAAATTTAAATGTATAATGATCACTTATGGAATAGCTATCGTTTCTAAAAGCGATTTTGGGTGAAAAAGTGCTGATTAGGCGCGGTGGTCGTGCAGAGTGCACGCACCAGATATTGTTAGAAACAGACGACGCACTGGTACCTATATGATTAAATAAGTATGAAATTATCTTACGTAATATATTGTACCTACTCGTAAATAGTTATTATTATTATTATAGCTTTTTATCCTTTTAGTGGTCCCCAAGGGTAAAAACCTTCTCCATCTTTTTCCACTTCTCCTTATCTATAGTAATACTTGTCCAGTTTTTTCCTGCTGTCTTTATTATGTCATCTGCCCATCTCTTTCTTTGCCTTCCAACATTTCTTTTTCCTGCTGGACCTCGCCATTTTGTTGTTTGGAGAGTCCACCTTTTATCTTTGTACCTCACTATATGACCTGCCCATCTCCACTTCTGTTTCATAAATAGTTACTCGTAAATAGTTACTGATACTTAAAAATAACTCATTTCTATTAAAACTAAGTGTATTATGTTTTTAAGTTATTGATGTGATTGATTCGAGCAAACCTTCTGCATTAAACCATTGCATCTTGGCCACAAGACTCAATTGAGGCTTTTCAAAAATGAAACGCGAAAGATATTTTTAACTGTAAACAACGCGCACACAACAATTCTTGCGTTCAATCCATACGCTATGGTTTTTTTTCTACCTCAGTGAAATAAACAAGTTGTTTTAGTGAGCTTACGCAGCGCAAAAAAATAGCACGTAGATTAAATCCTGTTACGAGTAGCGATATCTATTCGAATCTATGTCCATGCGCTCGCGCACTTCAAAATTAGTCCGGTCCAGTGTAATTGGGCCGTTGCGTGCGCAGCCGTGGGAACGCTTGGTGAAAATGCCACGCCGCCACGCTGCTCAGATTTAGTTATGGGAGCGCTATTTGATTTCTTTAGATAGGTAACTCTTGTACAATTAAATACAATTTGTCACGATTTTGGCAAAATCAAATGAAATGAATCGTTTGTATTTTTTTACATTTGAATGCATCTGCCACATAAGACATTTTCAAACACATTATGCGAGTCTGGAGTGAAGAAAAAATAGTTGGTATATGTGGAGGAAGTGTTAGTGTAAGTGAAGGATAAAATGATGGAAATGAAGTCAGAGAAGCTAGCCAATTATGCTATTCAATAGGCAAATAGACCTGACTTCTTCCCATTATCAAATCGCGATGGTTTCTTGGAGGGACCACGTGTAAGTCAAGTGGTAATATTCCATGAAGAAGTTCCATCCAGTTGTTTCAACACAAATAGTGAAATGCATCAATTATAATATATAAGAAAACTGAAAGACTGGCTTGTTGTAAAGGGTTTTTATAGTTTTGAAATATTCATAAAATATAAATAACCTCTAATTCTGAAATTTATTAATGTAATTACAATTTGAAGCGACGTCATTATTATTGCTATACATTAATATTACTGTTAAATATGTTATTATTATTATTAAAAAATGATATTTTCTCTAAATTAGAAAAAGAATATGATTAATTTGTTATGGGGATGACATAATTAACTAAAACTCGACGTGTAATTTTGTAAATCATGAATAAAATGACTGTATTTTTAAAAGGTGATATTCAATGGTTTTTGCAATTAAGTGTCAGTTCTAACGATTCTTTTTTTACTTGAAAGAGTTGCCTCCCATTTTGGTTTCATACAAATTTATTTAAGATTAAGAAACAGTTCCTTACACTGTGATTAAGAGCTTTTATTAAAACAAAGTAACAAAAATTTTGATCTATTCTAATTACAATAGATAACTTTAATATCTAATTAGCATTTTTTAATACATATATATTGTGCAATCCGATTTTTT